CGCCGCCTTGAGGGGTCGGGACGCGGGAGTGGGCGCGGGGTTAGAGGGGCTGTTGCCAGCCCCGGGGCTGACGTGGGCGAGAGGGTTTAAATGGCTCGAAGTCCTGGCTCCTCTGACCCCCGGGTTTCCTGACTTCCTGTGTGAGGGCAGCTCCCGCCCCGCCCCCAGGAAGGAGGGTGTCGGGGTGTGTGCTTCTGGTGTGCACGCGCGCCCGTGTGTGTGTGTGTGTGTGTGTGTGTGTGTGTGTGTGTGTGTGTTTTAAAGACTGGCTGGTGCCACCCTCCTTTCTCGCCGCCTGCCCGTAGCTGCTGTCTGCTGTAGGGTTTGCAAACCTCCGCCCACCCTTGGAGCCCACCTGGGGACTGTTGACCTTACACTGGGCACTTGCATCTTTGCAGTCTTTAGAGGTGCCCCGCCCCTGCTGAATGCGTATTTGCTACTTTCCAACTCCTCTGGAACGTATCTTCTCAGAGTCCTTGAATTTAAAACATCCTCTTTAAAGCTTGCTGTCCTCTTCCCATCTTAGGGTCCTTGATTGCTTTCCAAGAGAATCAGCTGACCTGTATGTGTTGTATCTTAAGTTATTGTAGACCCTCTGAGAAAAATGTCCACATCCAGGGAAATTGGCACGGCCTTCAGTTTTAGGGATGTGTGATGTTTTCCTTCTGGCTGCAGCAGCAGTTTTAAATACATTTGTAAAGGCTAAAAAAGCAAAATGTTTAAAGCATATCTTTATGGAAGTTCTAATGTCATTCCAAGTGAAGTGTTTGTTGTGGATAGAGGCTGTTAACACTGGTATTGCTTTATGGGTAAAAATGACATATGGAAGTAGTTTTATTGACCATTTGTGCACATATTGCTAAGGGGAGGTTATTGTAGAGAAAGGAGCATGAATGAAGAGTCACTTGGGTTCTGGTTTAGATTCTCCCACTCCTTTTTAAAGGTGAGAGCTTGGAAGACTGAATGTTACAGTGAAAGGTTGTCAAAAAGTATCTAGTCCCTTGTCATGTCTCTTTCATATTTAAGGTTGGGAAATGGTGGCCTGGAGATGTATTTGTTTGTCCATATCCAGTGGTCTTTACCTGATCTGTAGGAGGGTGTATTAAAGAATGGGTCATCTTACTGTACCTTTTCTGGTCTGGCTGTTGTCAGTATTTTTCTTTCTCTTTGTTTTAAAAATGCTCCTGGAAACGTTTCAGAGCATGAATTGGGGAGCCCAGAGCAGTGCCTAAGAGTAGGCTGTAAAGACTTGACCGGAAGTCATGTAGCCTCAAGAGCCAGACAGGCTGGGCACTTATGTGTGACCCATGATTTGCATGTAGCTCCGCTGCTCTGGAGGTGTTTCTCTGTGGAAAAAATTATATAACAGATTGTGTATGTGTGTGTTTGTATGTATGTATATGCCCCAGTCTTTGTTGATAGACTTGTTTGTACTATATTAATCATAGTAGTTGGAGAAGATTACTAATTCACTGACTCTTAATGTCATCTGTAGTTGTCCATCTATAGTCAATATTTTATGTAACTATAT